ACTCTGACCAGCCATAGCATATGACACTTGACAGGAGCTGCAGCCCCCCACAAATTGAATGACTTGTGACTTCTGTGCCCTGAGTCGATTGAGTGGCATACTTTTTCAGTCTTTGCTGGTATACTATGTATATATGCCATAAATAGCCCTATAAAAATGGTCTAGGTTGGCTAATTAGGCTACCTGAGACATTTGAGCTCTGACCAATCAAACTAGAATCCCATTTAACGGCTATTTGTAGACGTTGACAACAAAGCCATGCCTTATTATTTAGAGCAAGCTTAATTTGAGACGCTCATTTTCAATGATATAGTGAGTTGACTCGACTGAAATCCGATTAACTTACACCAGTGCAAACATTCATACAAATCTCAAGGAGAATGGCTTATTTTCATAAAAATTAAACTCAATTTTTTTTTTTATCTCTTATAATTTATTTTATGCATTCATTATTCATTTCAGATTTGTCAGCATTTTGTTTCGTATTAGCTTTATTCAGATTACTAATAGATATTTCCCCAAATATACCAATGGCCATTGAGCCACCAGGCAGACTTAAAAGGTTGAGAACCCAATTTTATACGGCTCGATAAGTGATCCGCGTACACCCGCGTTACCCAAATATTAGGCAAGATCAGAAAGTGCCGACTAGAAAGTGTTTATAATGTATATCTTCCATTACATTATATACATTATAAAGTTCGGGTGCCGATGTTTTGGTAATCACCATGCAGATTGCCGAAGCCCGATTAGAGTTTTTGGTGCCATCTCGACGGCTTTGAACCAGCCGAAAAAAGCCAAGCTTGAATCACAGGAAGCCGAAACGATGCCTGGCACTTTCCCAAAATGTACTTTATTTGGTTAGCCTAGACAATCAATAGATATATAATTATTAATAGGAGTGCTCGTGTCTGGGCTATCCATTAAGTTTTGGTGTTTTACAGTGGTTGCGTCATCAATTCCTCAGGAAAGCCCGGTGTTAAGTTCTTTCATTCTTTTATTATCAGCTAAGTAAAATAAATATGTGTGCTTATATATTTCCTTCGAGTTCGAGTATTTGTTTATTTTTCCCATTTACTAGTTCACTTTTAATTGCTTTGATTTCTTTATAGAGTTGGTACTGTTTCTGGTGCATTTATACTTGCTTGTGCCTTACCCGATCTATACGACTCGTATTGACTTTGCTTCCCTCACACCAAAGCGACATTTTAAAGCAAAGCATTCCTGGCTTTTGCTCTCCATATAGAACTATTCATTTGCATTCCGGCTTTTGTTTCCGTTGGACACTCATATTCACGCACACCAATAATAGTATTGCATACAATAGATTCGTAGTTCGCAAATACCAAATATTTTCAACTCTCAGCACGGCACAACAAGTTCCAATGGTTTTTTAATTCAACAGAATTATATATAAAATAATTTTCCTTATTTACATTTTGCTATCAATTTTCACATAGTATATGTGATATGGTCAAAAGGTCTATTTTGCTATCAGTTGTAAACTGATAAATTAAATTTTTACTGGGGAACAATCAATTTGATTTTAATAATACCCACTCTAGTTATTTTCGTTATTTATTCCTTGGAAATTGTGTTAAATGAATTTGAATTTGAATTGAATCTCTTTATATACATGAATTTCAGATTTGGACACTCAAGTGTGAATAAAGTGGGAGATTTTATTTTATAACTAATTTTCGAAATGATTCTTAATCGATAACAATAAAACAGAAATAGTTGTCGATTTTTTTAAAACAAAATCACCTACATAAATTTCAAGTCTCTAGATCTTAACGCTTCTGAAGGCGACGCATTTAATGGATTCCGCTCGCCGTTCTGATCAAGATTATATATACTCTATGGGGTCTGCGCATCCTCCTTTTGCCTGTTACATACATTTTAACAAAACCATAATACCCCATTTTGCCAATCCCAGTGCCTGCAGGGTATAAAAATAGAAGTTTCATTGCAAATTGGATTATAATACCAATTGATAAAATAAAACTATAATTCAAAACAATTTGTTTTCGATATTTCGGAGATTTTCAATGGAATCAATTGGTTTATTGAATGTCAATCAATAGTGAAAACCACGTGAAAATTGCCAGAACAGACAAACCCACTCATAAACACATTTAATTGCAGGCGATCTTTTTCGACTTTAACTTGATGATAATTTAATTTCAATTCAATTATCTTGCTCAATGCCAACTATTACAATACTCTAGCTTTCTACTTGGGGATAGCAGATTTGTAAACTATAATTACACAATTATATATATTATATATACAATATGTAATCTAGTATATCCTGATCGAGTACGGCTGGTTATTATATGCATAAGAAATTCATAATTAATACAAATGATAATCAGTAGTAAAAGTTGTAGTTATACATTTATATATAAAGTGTACATATGTATGTAACCTTTGAGCTGAGCCAGAGGCATTTCAATGCCACAGAAAAGCAATCGAGAAAACCTCAATCGAATCAAATGTAATCAAAGGCGACTGCAGTTGGCAGCAGTTCCTGTTCCTCTTGTCAGCAAACAAGTTCAAGTATATTATAGGGCACATATCAATGTATACCAAATGCATATGCTTATATAATATATGACTACGAGCGGAACAGATATTTTATGCGTGGCTAGTTGAATTTCTCAATTGGCGCGCTGTCGATGCCTTTTATGTGTGGCAAATGAATGGGGAAGAGGCCCCAATACCCCTATGCATGTGGCATACAAATGGGGCAAGGGGCTCCAGCTCCCCCCTATGCACGTGGCATATATGTATACACTTATAATGCTCGGCTTAAATCTCTTGGGTGTTAGGCATCCAAGTTCTGTGCTGCATAGTTGTGGCTCGGTAGTTTATTGCCAACTGTTTGGGACAACAGTCTTGCAAATAGTATACGTTCGGATAGGTCACGTACGACCGCTGGCTGTGCTGCTTTCGACTAGTTCTATTCGATCTTAACCTTTAACAGCATATTGCATATGTATGCCTAAAAGGGGTATGCTGGTTGCAGTCTTATGAAATATATATGTTTATATATTAAATATAAATTCCGCAATATCAATTGGAATGTAATATGGGATTGGCTTTTAGACTCAAATCAATCAAATTTCTCTATGGACAGATAGTGTAATTTAAGTAATATGTTTCAGTTATATAATGTTTCAATATAGTCATAGAATGAGAGTTTTCAATACGCGCGGAGGCCGAAATTAAATTATTATAAATTAAGTTTCTGCTTCCACGTATTATTCCAAATGAAAATGCAGATGGGAAAATTCAGCTCCAGCAAGGGGTATCTACTAGTCGAGCTTCTCTGCCGCTTCCCCTATGGTAGTGTTCTCGAAGGTTATGATAAATGGAGAGCAGCTGCAAACAGATGTTTGTGATAACTGAAAAGGCATTGGCACTGGGTACATAGATATACATATACGTACATATATATGTATGAATGAAAAACGAGCTGAATTGATTGCGCGTGGCATGTGCGAGGCGTGAGTCCAGCAATCAATTTTCATTAGTTGGCCATAAGCCGCTGAGCTTGGGTTAATGTGAAACAAAACGCATTTGTTTTTACAGCTATAATTGGAACAGGAATAGCGAGAACTTTAACAATGCCTAACAAATTTCATATCAAGTATTTACATTGCTCCAGCTGGTATTATTTACTTGAAATATTATTTAAGCATCGTATAAGATGAAACTTTTATTCGGATATTAAAAATTAACTGGAGGCATTGTCTACGCCCCATTTGCATTTGCACTTACTTTATGGCACTCTTAAGCGCCCCCAATGAATCTTCAAGACCCACTTAAGATACACACATAGACGCGCCTGGCCTGGCGCTCTGTTGCCCAAAAGGCCAAGCACTTGTGGCCAAAAGGGCTGACAGCGAAACTTGGTCAAACGGTTTTTTATTTTATTTTTATTTTTGCCATCGCTTGGCTTGGTTCTATATATTCAGTGACTGGCTGAAAATTGGCTTCCACTTGCCTTGGGCTGCATAGTATCTCCCTTCCTCTCCCCCTCTCTCTCAATCTCTTTGAAGGACAACCGCACCAACTGAAGTGGATAATTAGAGCCTTTAGGCTCTGGGCACTGGGCGCTAGGCTCGTCTTTGAAGCATGTGCCTGAATAAATATTTAGGCTACTTTATTGAACGGAAGACGGATAAGTTCGATGACAATATCAATAGTTGTTAATTTCGACCATTTGTTCATGTATAACAGTTTAGTCAATCCATCAAGCATGACAGTATAACAGAGCGCTTCGATTCAAGTTGTAGTTATACTTCGACAAGCTACAAATAGTTGTTACATTTGTCACAGTATAACAGTTGTAGAGACGTTCTGCTATGGATATTATTTATCCCAGTATAACATTTCAACAGCTAAAAGTGAAGGCTATACGTAATTTCGTAGGCTTGCCTGTTGTATAGTATAACAGTTATGAGCCAACATTAGAGAAGTACTTTGTTTCGCAGTTGACCCTTTCCGGATGAAGATTAGCCAACAAAATAATAAAAATATAAATTTCTGCAATAAATTTTAAAATGTATTGCATGTCAGCCAATTCTCTAGCTGACTGGCTAGCTGGCTAGCTGGCAGGCTGTCAGCTTTCAAAATTAAATATAAAATATGCGACACTGAATTTATGACCCGGAATTTAATTAAATCTCTTCTGAGTCACGAACAATAACATGGACTCTAATGGAATATTGTATGTTAGGTGAGAGGAGAGCAGATCCAAACACGGATTCAATGGGCTGTTGTTACAAATATATTCCATTATACATCAACATTGTTGATAATAGAGGCGGCTATGTCATAATTTATACACATTTCATTGGGGCTACAATTAATTAAATTATGTTGATAAAAGATTGTGAATATCAAAAAACGATTTCAAAAAGATAATCAAAATATTCATGTATTTAAGCGAGTATTATTAGTTAGCTTAGAGAGAGTTACGTTCTACACTAATATTAAATGTATTAAGACTTTAAAATGAGCTTAGCCTAATGCATGTTGAGAGCGTATCAGATGAGCGGCCCCGCGTGCTTCTTCTGCCCCTTGAGCACGCGCCGATTGTGGGGCATGGCATAGCGCAGCTTGCTCCAGAACAGGGGATCGCCCCATTTGAGATAAGTGTTGAGCTTGAGGTAGGCGCGCAGCTCGCTGTCGATGCCTTCGAAGTGGTCCAGCTCCTTATACAGGATGATTATGATGCGCTTACGCTTATCCTGCAGCGTCGCCTGGTAGGCGATGCGAAACTCCATGCGCGCCCACACCGAGTTGATGAAGTGCTGCGAGAGCACGATAATCACGCGCTTCGAGTCGTTGACGGTGCGCACGATCTGCTCGGGAATGCAGTCGCCGACCAGCCAATCCCGGCCATGGAGGCAGACGCGGTAGGCGTGCAGGCCGGTCTCCAGCTTGGGCAGCAGCTCGCCAATCAGCTGCTCGTCCTTGTGGGAATAGGAGATGAAGGCATCGTAGGTCTTGTCCTTGTCCAGCTCCTCCTCGGACACGAACCAGAGGCAGAGGTTGTGATTGTAGAGCCATATCTTGAGCTCCTGCTGGTAGATGAGATACACCACGCTGAACAGGCAGATGACGATGACCAGGCCACCCAAGATGCAGCCGACCAGCAGCACATACGAGGGACACAGCTCGCCGACGTCCAACTGCTGGAACGGCCTATCCGGCCACTCGCTGCAGTAGATGTCCCCCATGTCCTGGATGCGTTGGGGCTGCGCGCGCACAAAGCCGAGCAGCGGCAGGGCCGAGCAGTCACAGCTCAGCGGATTGCCTCCCAGGGCCAGGTTCATGGTGCTGTTGGTCATATAGTTGATGAAGTCCTGATCGAAGACAGTAATCCGGTTGAATCGGACATCCAGCAAACTCAGGTTACTCGGCAGCTGCTGGACTGCATTCAGGCTGCTCAGCTGGTTGTCGGCCAGGCTCAGTTTGGTGACGTTCGCATAGCCCACAGTGGCGTTGGCATCCGGCAGCTGGCTGATGCTGTTGTTCCTCAACTTGAGTGTTGTCTGCACCAGCGTTGTTTGCGGCAGCACTGGCAGCTCCGTCAGCTGCGCTCCACGACAGTCCACGAAGAGCTGGCGCGTGTGCCGCTGCACCCAGCAAATGCACTGCCGATCGCACTCCCAGTCCGCCGACTTGTACTGGCAGACGTCGTCATTGGTGCACACCAGCGCCTCGAAGGGCATCCACAGCTTGATTCCGTAGAACTGAGTGCCGCGCATGTCCACAAGATTGAGACTGCGCACATTCCCGAAGGTTCTGGGGTCGAGCGAGGTCAGCGGGTTCTGATTGAGCATCAGCGTGGAGAGCGATGTCAGCGACGTGAACAACTCACTGTGGAACAATTGGAGTTAATACGGTTAGAAAACCACACCATCATAAATATTTACACCTTAATCATAGTCCTCGAATTGCTTAAGTGAATTCTCAATTTTAATTAATCAATAATAATTATTATTCAAAATACTTTTTACACCGAAATATTTAAGTTTTTCATATACTCGTACTTAAAATTTTTATTTCACAACTATTGTATTATTATTGAATTACTGATATAACTATCAAATGAACTAACTACTAAGTACTTCCCAACATTTAAAGATTTAAAACCATTTTCTATACATATGATTCCCAATATTAAAAGATTGAAAAATATTTGGTATACGAAATATTTTCGATTATTATACTCATTCACAATTTTATCTGTATGATATCATCCCCATTCGAAGGAAACCCCGATTCGGGATCTGGAATATATGCCCATAAGAACGTAGAAAATCAGAAAAATGTGTATTTGCTAAAATTATTGAGGAACTAAGAAACTGAATCTGTTGATCTCCTCTATCTCCTATCCCCTGTTTATTAAAAAACACTTGCGTGCTGGACGTGTGTCATACCCAAAAGACGGTTTTGAATCCTCAACGTCAAAATAAATCCAGATTAACAAATTTTGTATATAACTTTAACGACAAAAAGTTGCTATATATATATACTATACTATATATACATACTGCGAGTGTAGAAAACCAGAAACATCTATATCTTTCAATATTTTCGTTCGGGAGCTCACAAACAGTAATCATAATATTTCTGCAGTGAATAAGTATATTTCAGTCAGTTGTACCCGACTACAACATTTTTACTTGTTTTAATATTCACTATTATAAACACCAAGTAATTATTATTCAACTACTCAAGTAATGGGATTATGTGAAACAGTAATTTGAAACAAATAATATTTTTACAGACATTACAAAAATACTTTTTCTTACAACTATTAGCTAATGCGTATTAACGTACTAAAGTAACTATTTGATTGTGGCTAAAATGATGATTTGGTCATTTGAGATACTAAAAGATATTTCTTATTAAACAAAAAATGTTATGGAAAATTGTATTAATTATGCATATGTGTGAAACATGTTTTCTATTATTACTAGCACTTATTCTCAATAAATAAGTTAAATACTTATCTAGGTATTTACATTCCTAGTTTCGGGATATTCCCTACTTAGTCAGTTGAATATTATTCTATCTATGATGATATGATAATATGTATAAATATGGTCTTAGCAATTTGTAAAGAAGTAATCACTGGCAAATACGAAAATCAAATTTGTAATAAATGTCTCTAGTACTTTTCGGTAAGTATAATTTTATGCTTATATGATATAACGACTTTCCCATATGTTTAGAAAACGACTTAGTGTGAGATTTGGAATAATCCGTTTTTAGCTTCTTCAGCTCTTGCGCGATGAGCACCCACCTTGATAAGTTAGTCAGCCTATTGTTCGATAAATCCAACCGCTTCAGCTTGGCCAGCCCGTTTAAGAGATCCATCGGCAGCTTGGCCAAGCCGTTGCGGGATAAGTCGAGCACGGTAAGATTGCCTTGATCGTGAAAGAGTTCGCTGGGCAGCTCGGTGAGTTCCGGGTTCCGGTTGATGCCAATGAGGCGCAGGCTGTAGCTGCCGCGAAGCATTGTTGAATTCACGTAGCTGGTGGCTCGCGTCAGGTGCAGCTCCTCCAGCTGGGGCATGGAAATGAACAAGGGCGACAGTCGCCGCTTGGACCTGTTATCGGGCGAGCGGGCAAGCTGCAAAGTCAGATTACGCAGCTGGCGCAGCTCCTGCAGCACGCCTGGCTGAAGGAGCAGCCTGTAGGGATTCGATATCGAGAGGGTATGCAGGCTGTGCGCGATGCTGGAGAACAGACGCGATGGCAGGTGATGCACGGACAGGCGCAGCTCCAATGTGGTCAGGTTATGGAAGGCATGGAATATGGACTCACTGAGCACATGCTGATGGCTCTCGTACTTGAAGTACTCCAGCATGGGCACCTCACTGAACAGCCAGGTGCTCGCATTTTGGCCACCTGCATCTGGCGAGTCCATATCCAATACGAAGGCATCTTCATCGGGGTTCAGCTGGACGTCTGCTTGGAAGCTGCGGTCGCGAAACTGTATGCTCAGCACCTGCTCCACGCCCAGCGTATTCAAGAGCTCTCCGAAGAACGTGTCCGACCAATAGTTATAGGCGTCGAACTCAAACTGCGCCACCTGGCTGATATTGAGGCGCGGCAGCCAGTGTATATCCCCACTGGCGTAATAGCTCATGGCTATATTATAGCCGGTGTCCGCGATCTGCAAGATCATGGCGTACTCTTCCCGGCAGAAGATGCGAACGAGATTCGCCTGCGGCTCGCAGGTGCACCAGGTGTGCACATGACGGCAATAGTTCGATAGCGGTACGATCTGAGCATTCGCGCAGGCAGCCGCGCAAATCACGACGATAAGATATCGAGAGTCGAGCATATTCTCCGCATTCCACGCACACACACACACAGTCACAGACAGACACACACAGACACCTGTGCTCCACTGTTCACTAACATTTATTCCGCACCTCGACGCGACTTTCAAAGGCGACGCCTCAACTCTGACTAAGCAGTCGAAATGCTTCAGCTCATTTCTATATCAGTATTCGCCTTATCAGTCTGGAGACTTTCTTCTTCACTATTAATACTCATATCTACGATATATGGCCGTGAGCCGAAAATACATTGAATGGAAGGCGTGATTTAAATGCGTCGTAGGCCTCAATCTTATAGCTCAAGCCCATAAATTTGATATATCTATGTATCTGCCGATATTTTCGATACTGTGAATCACATTAGTGGAAAATGTAGAAATAACTCAAATATTTACTATTTAAGTCCAACTGTCTTCACAGTCACAGATTATAGATATGCATTTCTCAGTACATGCTTACTCTTCCATATCATATCATATAATCATAAAATTTATTCCTATCCTTATATCCAATAAATGTCGATTTCTTATATATCACATATTAGATTTTTCTAGACTGTTACACAAATTATATATTATACAACACTGCCGCAGTCCGGCATGCCTCTATGACGACGTATATCTGAAATAATTACAATAGTTGAAACATACATCATATATTCATAACTGAATAAAATTGAGTAAAACAGGTAAACGGCTCGAATCTTCCCCTACAATTATAATATACTCAGCGTACAAGATTCGGCTCTGGATCGAAGATGGGAGATGATAAGGAAGATGATAAGAATATACTATCTCTGATACATTCTTTTATCTTTCAATATTTCAAATGAGCAATCACAACGAATCGTTATCAAATGCGTTCAACTTGAACAAATTAATCATTTGCAGCTCCCAAAAGTTTCTTATCGACAAACAAACACGTAAGAGTACTCCAATCAGGAGTGCACGACTAGGAGGTTCCCCTAACCCTAAGCACATCAGTCTATGTCGAATTTATATTTAGCCGTGCTCACAGACACACATGAATAACAATTGCTCTAGCTGGAAAGCTGTGCGCACTTAAGCAAATATTTGTTAGGGCTTATTTATTAAATATGTTGCTCAACATTTGAGCACTTACATAGAGTTTTGTGATTTCCTCCAATCGGAGTAGGGTAAAAACTGGAGTAAATTGATGACTGAGTAAATGTAAACGATATTTGGCGTGTGCATTGATGCAAAGCGAAATTAATCGGTCAGTCGGTAGGAGTTATGACGCTTCATTTCACTATTTTTCTGCATTCATTCGTTTAACGGGATTAGTTCTATCCAAGTGTTAAGCCAATCTTTAATTATATTAAGCAAGCGAACGCATAAGACCTGATCAATCGCGCGGAAACAGAATATTACTTTTATCTTTGATAATGAAACAAAATGTGTTGGCAGAATAATTAAAATATTAAAAGTATGTAGCTGATGATATCTACTCGTTGAACAGAAACGTCAGAAATAAGAAGAATACCCTAATGCTTGAAAATATAGTGCCACATTAATGCCTAATAGGCTAATTGAGCGTCGTTAAATAAAAGTTATGACAAATCGTACAACTGTGTCATTCGTAGAAAATGCTGGTCGCTTGCCTCTTTGAACTGTTGGGATTCCCCTGTACTTTATTTGCACTAGATAAAAGATAAAAGAAACACGCAAATAAAACTATACCAGGCAGTCGAATGATTTACCTTTCCCCAGTACATCTGCCATTTTATTTAATCGACAATAATCGATAATTTGACTGTGATTTTTGGGCGTAATTTTAGTACGGTTAGAGATAGAGATCTCAGATATATTGTGTAGATTCCTGCAGTGAAGTTTGTAATTTATAGATTATGGATACCACACCTTGTTGGGTCCACATCGGAAGCAAACCAGCCTTGTTATTGTTATTGTTGTTATCACGCCCTGAATCTTTTGTGAAGATAGTCTCATGTTTGCAGGGCTAAGGGATCTACAGTCGAGCAGTCTCCACTAGAGCACTCTTTAAATATAGAATTTCTTTTCAGTGAATGTTCAAAAAAATCGATTTTGTAATCGTTTTTAGTTGCGGTTTGTGTAAATAAATCTTTCTTAAATACCTGTCTGAGGTAAACCTTAAGTTAAACGAGGCGGTCATAATATTTAGGTATAGGAGCCTCCCCCACAAATGCAACAACAACAAGAAACCCTGACAGCTGGGTGAAGGTCCACGCCGAGCACGAACTCTGACTGGGGTTTGGTAGGAGAAATTTCAAGCCTTGGGGAGAGGTGGAACGTGCGACATGTGCGAGTACTCAAAAATTAAGCGCTTAAAGGCCAAGTCAATCAGATAAATAGCTGGAGCAGCGCGGCTGGCCTTCAACTCCTGCAAGGCTGTCGCACGCAGGACCCCGTGCAAACCTGCCGAATTGTAGTGCCAGCCACGTGCAAATTGAACACCGTGTTGCTAGTTTTTCATAATACAATCTCACGAAGACGGGCTGAAACTCAATTAATACTTTTTGGCCGACTCCCGGAGGGAAAGTGAACTGGTATTGTAGGTATACGAGATGAAGGCCTCGGTAGAGCTGTGCACGCGTGCTACATACAACCCGCAAAAAAGAGAGCACGAGAAACCATTCACAAGCAATTAGACAGGTGACAAATTACGCATACGCCCCGTACTGCGCTATGTACTTATCAGTGTTTACTGCACTCTCTGTGAGCTTCGAGTTTTTGCTGCTGCTAAGTAACATAGAGCCAAAATATGTGTGTGTGCTCCCTTTTCTTGCTATTTCGCATCTCGTTTGAACCGTTTGGTAGGTTTGCATAGCGCTTAAAATAATTTATTAGACTAAAAATAACGAAAGCAAACAACTTTGTGACTATCAAAAGCAATTGTTGCTCGACTCTAGAGTGTCTGTTGATTTCATGCCCCAGAAATCAACTTGCAAAGCTCACACACACACGCAAAGCTCACACACACGGCCATGTTGCGTATACGCATCGTTGCGATTGCTGCGAACTTGGTCTGTGAGTTTTTGAAAGCTGTTGAGGGTTTTATGTAGGTTCATTGATTTGAAACCAAAAGTTGATTTTGTTTGCAAAGCTGACAGTTTTTATTTAATTTGATTTTCTCGAGAGTGCAACCAGAGCATAAGAGAACGGCACGCAGAAGGACCAGAGTATGAGCTAAAAATACCCTATAAATAAATATCATATTTCCTTGTTATACCACCCTTTTGCTTTTCTTGCTTGGAGCTTTGAAAATGGTTAAAGACCATCCAGAATTTCTACAGCTCAATATAGCTAAACAGACAGCCCGCACACATTTTGTGTGCAAATCCTTAATAATAATAATAAAT